GTGAATGTTTACAGCAGAAGTCCCTGTGGGCGTGTGTTACAGTGTGCTCTTTCAGTTTAGCCATCTGCAGGAGGCTTTGTGTTATCAGCTCAGTTAGACCCTCTGCCTTATCGCAAGGACAGAGGGCTTTCTGTAGCCCAGGTTCTTGCCTGAGTGTACTGGAAAAAGTGGATGACACACGGGCTTGGAAAGAGTGCAAGGTTCTTTATTGAGTGGTGGTGGCTCTCAGCGAGGTGGATGGGGAGGCCAGAAGGAGGATGGAGTGAGAAGGTAGTTTCCCCCTGGAGTTTCGCTGCCCAGCGGTGGGTTTCTCCTCTGACTGCCCCGGCCTGACTCCCTGTCATTCCGCCGGTCGATGGCCTCCCGGCATCTGTCGGTTCCTGTCAACGTGTGCTCTTCCGCTGAAGTATTCCTCTCATGTCCAGCCGTTTGTATTATCTTTCAGTGATTTATTCCTCTCCACATCCAGCCACTTATGTCTCTGTCCACTAGGGTCTCGGGGTTTTTATAGCCACAGGATGGGAGCTTGGTGGGCCAGGGTGGTCTCGGAAAAATGCAACATTTGGGCGCAAAGGCAGGAATGGCTGTCCTCTACTAGGTCCGTAGGCACAGATGGCGGGATAGAGCCCTTGCCAAGGACACACCCTCCAGCCCCCCTCCCATATCAACATGATGATGTAAAATGCTTCCATTTCTCAGGAATACGGTTTATAGCTTTGCTTCCGTGGAATCATTTTGTGGAATAAGGAGAGACATGTTGTCACTCATAATTTTTCTGTCCGATGGACAATAATCATTGATCACTCTTACAGCAATAGCAATTTATAGGCAATCATTGACAGCCTATTAAATCACAGAGAGGTGGATTCAGCTGAAATTTGTTCTGTGTCTAAGAATTCAAAATTTTGGGACTAGAATTATAACAGTAACTATCACCCTGAGTATTTTTGTAAAAGCATGGTATAAAAAATAGTGCCAACCATTGACCAATTTGGCTTGCTTTAGTTTGCCTTATGGAAACTATTATAACACTTGAAAATTTATTCCTTTAATTCTTTGTTATTAATTATCTTACATGTACGTTCTTCCCAAATGTAACACTGATATTAGGTAATATTGATAATAGGTCCATCTGAACAGTTTGTTGGGGGGAAAAGGCTGTCTAGGAACATGTCAATCTCAAAAAATGATTTTATTTTCTGTAGCAGTTCTACCTTCACAAATGTGCCTAAACTTTTATAAACTTACAACCATGTATTTTTTTTTCTTACTCAGGAAAATGAATGGCATTAACAGAGTGATGACATTTTCTCTCGCTATCCCTTGAGTAATCAAGCATTGCCTCATTAGTATTAAGCACTTTCCCTTGTGTCTGTAATTTATAGTGAGAACAAGCCACTCTGTGGCTAATGCAAGCTGGCGTGCCCTAACACATTATTGTTTCCCTTGCCCTGGTCCACTGTGTTAACTGGAGGTCATAATTTCTATCTTCTTTGTCAATTATTGACTTACCTTAGGATATTCTGATCCTATTCTCCCTATGACCTAAAAGGACATCATCTTAGCCATCTTTTTCTGAATTCCAAACTGTACTTTATGTTAATGTCCTTTTGTACAATTTGGATAATACATTATGCCAATTATATCCGCAGAAGGTTAACCTGACAATTTAGCCATGTTATAGCTGGCCTTACCTGTAACATGATTGATTGAATGCTTGAGTTGATTCAATCAGACATTGAAATTGTAGAATGGATAAGACCATTCATTTTCCATAAAATTGCACTGTTTTTAAGCCTTTAAAATAGAAACATCTTGAAAAGTGCCCTACATTATAGATTTTCTTTTGTACAGGTGCCAGTGGTAACTTTGCTTAATTCTGAGGGGGAAGGTAGAGTAGGTGAAAAAGGATAGCACACATTTGGCAATCAAGTCAAGTGATTTTTCAGTTCATTAAGCTTTAAAATTTAAGCTGTTCTAAATAAGACAAATGTATTCCCTTTATTCTAATATATAAAGTATAATTATTTCAAATTACTTACTTGGCTATTTCATACATGTTATAAGATTATAAAAGGTGAATGAGTTAATATTTTTGAATTTCAATTGTCAACTTTAATATTCCATTACTTGTATGGTATAGGGATATGTGTACATGTGTGTTTAATGGAGATATGCATGTATGTGTGCCTATCCACAAGGAAAATCTTTCCTGCTCATTACCTCTCAAAACATAACTACTGGCCGGGCGCGGTGGCTCACGCCTGTAATCCCAGCACTTTGGGAGGCCGAGGCGGGTGGATCACAAGGTCAAGAGATTGAGACCATCCAGGTCAACATGGTGAAACCCCGTCTCTACCGAAAATACAAAAAATTAGCTGGGCATGGTGGCGCATGTCTGTAACCCCAGCTACTTAGGAGGCTGAGGCAGGAGAATTGCCTGAGCCCAGGAGGTGGAGGTTGCGGTGAGCCGAGATTGCGCCATTGCACTCCAGCCTGGGTAACAAGAGCGAAACTCCGTCTCCAAAAAAAAAAAAAAAAAAAAATCATAACTACTAACCTTGATAAAATACTATTCAGGGAGTTGTTTCTCTAATATTCAAATTCCATTAAAAACTTTTGAAAAATAATATTTCTAGCATAAAATATTAATAATTTTTAACCATAAAGGATTATCTTTATACATATACATTTATTATAGAGTAAGTTTTACTGCAATTTTTACCACAAATACTTGTGACCTATGCTAGGTAATCAAAAGCAATACCATCATTTAAAAATTCATTGACATTCTGTTATATGTACAGTGACTCTATCTTTTCCTCATCAGTTCAGCATATGAGGCCACAGTGGCCAGGTCACTTTCATTAAATTAAAGGAGAAACAATATTAATCTAGTTCTTGCTATTCTTCTGCCTAAAAATATCATTTTCCAGATAACCATATGTTTCATACCTTCACCTCCTTTATTCTTTGCTCAGAGAATCTTTTTTGATTGGTCCTATTTAAATTACCACATAAGTTACTGAAACTTACATAGTATATTTATTTTCTCACCCATGTGCTTGTTGTCTATTTCTTCCCCTTATAGTATAGTCTTTGAGAGGTCAGGAAATTTTTTCTGATATGTTTCCCCTGTATCTTCAAGGCTTGCATGAGTGCCTATCACACAATAGGTGCCCAACAGATATTTACTGAAACGATAAAAGAAATCTGTCTTATTTTTGTTTCATATAAATACTTTAGTATTTACTGATTAATCCATATCTTTCCTTGAAAATATTGTACAATCCTTTTATTTTATTTATTTGAACATGTTGAAGAAAAAATATTATTTTGATAATTTGGTGTAACTTAGGTATATACATATGTCAATTTGCACACATCGAAAGATTTAAGAACTCTACAAAACATATTTAACTTCTAGATTCCTTGTGGTAGAGATTCTAATCATGTATTAGTCCAGTCTCATGCTGCTATGAAGAAATACCCAAGACTGGGTAATTGATAAAGGAAAGAGCTTTAGTTAATTGACTCACAGCTCTGCAAGGCTAAGGAAGCCTCAGAAGACTTACAATCATGATGGAAGGCAACTCTTCACAGGATGGCAGGAAAGAGAAGTGCAGAAAGACGGGGAGAAAGGACCCTTATGAATCCACTGGATATAGTGAGAACTCACTCACTATCATGAGAACAGGATGAAAGAACTGACCCCACGATCTAATCACCTCCACGACGTCCCTTCCTTACCACATGAGGATTACAATTCGGATTATAATTTCAAGAAGAGATTTTGGGTAAGGACACATTCAAACCATATTGAGTAGTAAGTGAGCTTCAGAGTGCCATTATATTTTTGGCATAATCATCATGATAAGATTTTCTTAAAATTAAGAAATATACAGAGAAGGATTTTTTTCAAGTATAATCAGGAAGAGAGTTTCCCCAGTGAATCCGTCGTAGATGTTGTACTTCTTATTCCTTTGGGTTATTTTTAAATCATATCCTTGATCCTCTCTCTTAGCCTTGCTTCAGAGATTTTGACCAATTTTTAAATCTTGGGATGGATCTTAAGCCTCTACACACATCTGTATAAGATGTGTGAGGAGAATAAAAGAGCAAATAAATGAGCTCTGAAGCTTATTCATATCTTTTGTGTGGAAAGTCACGGAAAATGATGAGCAAATGTATGGCTGTACATTGATCTTAGTACTTAAAAATAAAAGTCACAATGCATTTAATTCTTCTGGTTGCTAAGGGACCTCTGCATCCAGAGTGTACATTTTGAAGCACAAAGACTGCTATATGCTCTTTCTATTCACCAATTTTCAATTTGCAAACATATAGGAGCTCTCAAGGGGGACTTTTTAAAAAATATGCCTTTATGAAGAGCAAATCAGATCAGACTAATCTAATTTCCTCTGTGACAGAGTGACAGACCCTGTGGTTAAGGGGAAAGCAATAGATGTAAGATCTTTATTTCAGTCAGGCTTTTAATTTACTCTCATATGACATTAATTAGGGAGCAACAAAGCAGAGTTGAGATCCTACTATTAAAGCATGAGTGTGCAACTGCTTGGAAGGTCACACTCAAATAGTAGTTATTAATTGGCTGACGCTGCCCTGAGGAATGGGGGTGGCTATTGAGTGATGCTTTAGATTCTGTCCTAGGTCCATTACTATATCTTTATCCATGACTGGGATGATAAAGTAGAGCTCTTACTCCTTAAGTTCATGGATAACATCAAGTTGGGAGGGGTAACTGTCCTTGGAGAATAAACTTGAACATTTAAATGACCTTCTTGAGATGAGAAAGTGGCTTGTGCAAACACAACAAAGGAGAAAGGATTGTATCCTAGGAAAAATGTGAGGGGAAGAAACAAAGAAAAAGAAACTCAACAAACTGAAAGTGGGAAGTTGTATGACCGTATTTTTAGGTAGCCACAATGGGAGAGTACAGTTAAATTAGCCCACAAGATGGGTAATTTAAAAATACTTACCATCTTCCAGATGACTGCACTGTATATAAGAATATGCAGAAGTTGGGCATGGTGGCTTATGCCTGTAATCCCAGTGCTTTGGAAGGCCGAGGAAGGTGGATTGCCTGAGCTCAGGAGTTCGAGACCAGCCTGGGAAACACAGTGAAACCCCGTCTCTACTAAAAATAAAAAATAAAATAAAAAAAAAAAATTAGCCAGTGGTGGTGGTGTACACCTGTAGTCCCAGCTACTTGGGAGGCAGAAACAGGAGAATTGCTTAAACCCAAGAGGCAGAAGTTGCAGTGAGCTGAGATCATGCCACCGCACTCTAGCCTGGGGGACAGAGTAAGACTCCTTAAAAAAAAAAGTTTCTGCTTTTGTGTAGAATGTGGTATTATTCATTCTTGCCAGTTAAACTACTCATCTCTATTGTCAAGTAAACTACTCATCCAATTTACATACCTAGATTTACTTAATATCCTAGGCTAGCCACACCTTCACATTCCTTTCTACTTCATTAGAAGGTATGAAAAGACTTCCTGGCATGTAAAGAAGATACTATCACTTACAGGTATCTATTGGTTTGCTAAATGGATTGTGCATTTTATTTTCCTTGCCTCTATTATGCTCAAACTGGCGATCTTGGTTTCTGTGGCTCTAGCCTCTTAGTTTTTACCCAAATGTTGTAATCACAGATTTTCATTATGTTCTAGGTCTCAGGGTTTCTGATCAGTTGGTGAATTGCATCACCTTGATTTATCGGGTATGGGTAATACCAATACTTGCTAAACCTGACCATTATAACATTGCACTGTAATTTAATTTCACAGTGCGTTCAGATGCTTCCATGTCTGCTTGTTTCAACCTCTAACCTCATCCCAGATGATAACTTGTCATTTTTGATTCCCTGTCAAGATTTGACCCAGCACCTAATCTTGATTTCTGGTGTTTATTTGTTCTCTATCTCCAAGTTGATTACCTGGCTGCAGACCTCTGACATCCTTTCGGCCACTTTCTTTAGCCTACATACACAGGGCTGGGCCTGAGCTCCATGCCTGCCTCTTATGTGAGTAACTTTAATGACATTTATTGCTTTGGGGATGGGGAGGATTCTGAAAGTTTCATAAAACAAAAGCATTGTAAAATTAAAAATGTACAAAAAAAATTTCTGTGATAATAAAAATCCCTTGCATTTCCGGTTGTTTTGCATTAAGAATATTTCTTGATAAAAATCTGTTATATAATCATCCAGGTATATATATCTATAACATTTGATATGTAAAAAACATGTTTAATAAAATGACATAATTTGCTGCAACTTGCGTTTTCATCAGTTTCCTTTCGATAAATGTTTCTATTTGTCTCCTATTATAAAAAGTGCTATATTTACATCCTCACAAATTTATCTTCAACACTTACAGATATACTTCTAGGATAAATGTATTGAAATTTAGTGAATAGAAATTGAAAGAAACGATGATAATGTCTTGATGACATAAGGATTTGATTGCAGTATGTCCTAAAATGCTCAGGCTTCAGGTAAATATCTATAAATTAAATTGTGAGCCATCCAATTTTAGACTTTTTTTTGGAATTATATAATTGACAAGAACAATTTAATAAGCATGTAGAGCCGTGTTTCCTGCAAGCATAAAATACTTCTTTTGTAACCATGTTACAAAAATTGGTCACGTGCTTGGCCATAAAAAAAAAACTTCGCCAAGACAGAAATTTTAGAAATCATGTTCTTGGTTCATACTCTAATAAAGGGAAATAAGCAATGAAAAGGATAATTTCAAAACTTAAATTATTAGAATTAAGAAATGTTCCCATGGTTGACCCCCTTATTTAAAGTACATCAAAACTGCTTCGCAATATACCTGGCAATGCATTCAAAAACCAACCTGGAGTGCGGGCTGACAGAGCTGGACAGTTGGACGTATAGGTGATTTGATAAGTACAGCAAAATGCTCCTTGAATAAGTTAATGGTCGAGTTCCCTGTATGATTCTTTCAGCTTTTCTTTTTTTTTCATGCTATCTCTCTGCAACTACCCACCCCACACTGTCCCTCCCCTATTTCCCCCCAACAGACTCCAGTGTGTGATGCTCCCCTCCCTGTGTCCATGTGTTCTCATTGTTCAACACCCACCTATGAGTGAGAACATGCAGTATTTCATTTTCTGTTCTTGTGTCAGTTTACTGAGAATGATGGTTTCCAGGTTCATCCATGTCCCTACAAAGGACATGAACTCATCGTTTTTGATGGCTGCATAATATTCCATGGTGTATATGTGCCACATTTTCCCTGTCCAGTCTATCATCGATGGGCATTTGGGTTGGTTCCAGGTCTTTGCTATTGTGAACAGTGTTGGAATGAACATTCCTGTGCATGTGTCTTAATAGTAGAACAATTTATAATCCTTTGGATATATACCCAGTAATGGGATTGCTGGGTCAAATGGAATTTCTATTTTTAGGTCCTTGAGGAATCGCCATGCTGTCTTCCACAATGGTTGAACTAATTTACACTCCCACCAGCAGTGTAAAAGCCTTACTATTTCTCCACATCCTCTCCAGCATCTGTTGTCTCCAGATTTTTTAATGCTTGCCATTCTAACTGGCATGAGATGGTATCTCAGTGTAGTTTTTATTTGCATTTCTCTAATGACCAGTGATGAAGATCATTTTTCATATGTTTGTTGGCCTCATATATGTCTTCTTTTGAAAAGTGTCTGTTCATATCCTTTGCCCATTTTTGAATGGGCTTGTTTGCTTTTTGGGGGGGTCTTCTAGATATACAATCATGTCATCTGCAAATAGAGACAATATCTTTCGAAAAGATAAACAAAATAGACAGACCACTAGCCAGATTAATAAAAAAGAAAAGAGAGAATAATCAAATAGGTGCAATAAAAAACGATAAAGGGGATATCACTACAGATTCCACAGAAATTCAAATTCAGAGATTATTACAAACAACTCTATGCACATAAACTAGTAAGCCTGGAAGAAATGGATAAATTCCTAGATACTTGCATCCTCCCAAGCCGAAATTAGGAAGAAGTCGAAACCCTGAATAGACCAATAACGAGGTCTGAAATTGAGGCAGCGATTAAGAGCCTACCACCCATAAAAAAGCCCAGGTCCAGAGGAGTTCACAGCTGAATTCTACCAGACACACAAAGAGGAGCTGGTAGCATTCCTTCTGAAACTATTCCAAATAATCCAAAAAGTGGGAATCCTTCCCAAGTTATTTTATGAGACCAACATCATCCTGATACCAAAACCCGGCAGAGACTCAGCAAGAAAAGAAAACTTCAGACCAATATTCATGATGAACATAGATTCAAAAATCTTCAATAAAATACTGGCAAGCTGATTGCAACAGCACATCAAAAAGCTTATCCACAATGATCAAGTAGGCTTCATCCCAGGGATGCAAGCCTGGTTCAACATACGCAGTCTATAAATGTAATTCACCACATAAACAGAACCAAAGACAAAAATCACATGATCATCTCAATTGATGCAGAGAAGGCATTTGACAAAATTCAACAGCACTTTATGCTAAAAACCCTCAATAAACTAGGTATTGGTGGAACGTATCTCAAAATAATAAAAGCTATTTATGACAAACATTCCTTTTGAAATCTGGCACTAGACAAGGAAGCCCTCTCTCACCACTCCTATTCAATATAGTACTGGGAGTTCTAGCCAAAGCAATGAGGCAAGAAAAAGAATTAAAGGGTATTCAAATAGACTTTTTTAAAAACACTAAACCCTTTTAAACTTAAAGATAAAGATGATAGTAATATATATAATTTATATTTGAAAAAATAATCAGTGATATCTGACATTTCTTTCTGAAGCTCAATTATTATGATAATTAAACCTGTAAGCCAAGGAGAATAGTTTTTCACACTGTTATTTTTAAAGAAACTTTACTTCCTCCCCTCAAGTAACCCAACTTTGTTTCTCTCAATTATCTTTTTCTAAATTTGGTATAAATCTAGATTCAATATTTTTGGTTTCACTCTAAGGTCTTCTTCTTGTAGATCACCACAACTAAAGATATATATCTCTGACCATTAAACACAACTTTTAAAACATTTCACAATAAATTAAGAACAACAACAACAAAAGCTTTCAAATATAAATATGATTTCTTTTCATTATTGGAGAACAAACCTTTAGCAATGTCCTTGAGCCCTGGCATTGTCTGTTAGAATGTGGCATTTCAGATTCACAAGTCTAAATTTTCTACTTTAGTCTACTTCTATTTTCAAACTCAGTTTTTAAAATACCAGAAGTTTTCCTTAAAAGCTAAAATGTTAGGAACAACATTCTTGTGGAAGGCACTGCTTCTGTTATAAAGCTTTGGATTTTCTGGTTAAATAGAAATGTTTACCTGAAGTAAACATGATATAAGACTGAAAGCCTGAAATGGGCTTAGAATTTTATTAGTTTCTCCCAAAAGAATCTTTTTGAGTAAGGTGGCTGATGTAATCAGTATTTTTTGAAAAAAAAAAATAAAAGGTATAAAAGGTGAAATGTGCTGAAGAATTTCACTTGTACTTTACAACCATGAAAGTAGAAAGAGTGAAATTGATTAGAGATTAAAAACATAGATACCCTCACAGTCAGAAAAGAAATTGAAAAGAAATAAGCAATCATAGGAAAAGAAATTTTTAAGAAAGCAATTTTCAAAATTATGACAGTATTATTCTGCAATGTGGAGCTCTCCACGTTTGTGAAGAGGTATATGATCATTATTCTTTATTATTCTTCTGTGACATTATAAGATAGGACTTCAAGATGAGTCATGTTACATAGACATAAAAACAAAAGAAACAAACACAGATGGCTTTTCCTGAACCGCAGTGAATAAGAATGTGGACAGATACAAAACAAGAATACTTACAAGACTAAAACAGTATGGGATCAATTTATTCTTATATCCTGTTGGGTTTTAAATTTTCATTATTGAATTTTGAAATTATTTGTAGGTTCTATGATTTAAGTAGGTCAGGTACTCTGTCTGATATCCATTTTAGTTATCACATTATCAAGGGGATAACACACTCTTACACTACATCCAGAAGACAGGTAGATGACAGGTAGATGGATGTCCGGTTTGCTACATAGAGTTAATAGTGCAGACGATCCCTGGTTTAGGAT